TGTGTGTTTGGATAACCTGCAGCTGTAACGCCACAATTTCCCAGTTTGGGATCAATAAAGTAATTCTATTCTATTATTCTATTATTCTATTCTATTCTATTCTAGAAAGAGACATTTCCGCTGGTCATGTTTTTAACCGGCCTGTCTCAGGTCAGCTGATGCGGGTCAGGGCGGCTTCATCGGAAGCTCATTGGTCGCGCTTCACTTGCACGGTCACATGCGCGCGTTGTGTGTTTGGTTTCACTTCCGCACTCCGCTTCTGTCTTTAGCCTGCTAGCCTTTTGGATGCTCTCACTTTGACTTGACACATTTCTGCGGGGGGAAAAAAAGTCGGTTTTAAAATGTAGAACAGAAAAGCGTGAAGCCAGCAACAAGTATTTGGAACTCCGCGCCGTCTGCAGAATCACTTTATTTAACTGCGCAACATAGAGCAGCGTTATTGCTCTTAAAGTCAACAAGGAAACGAGGTTAGCGTGAGGAAGCGACTGTCACTTTGTGTGTGTGTGTGTTCAAGTGTAACTTCTACAAAAAAAAAGTGCTCCCGCTCACGTATGGGACAAGACGTCATGAAGGTAAGTGCAAAACGTACCAAGAAATGTGCCACAACTTTGTGCACCTCTTCTGGGTTCATCTTCTACAGTTTTCTAAGGAGAACTTATTGCCTCATGCGGAGGATGAACAGACATTTTGCATGAACATATTGCACCACAATAGCTACGTTTGGTTAAGGCTATACATATGCACATTCGCAAAGTGTAATTACCAATGAACACGTTGAGTTAATGTCGTTTGTATCCCGTCTCTTGTAGCCTACAATATCTAATTGCAACAAAATTGTTTGCAATTGTGCTGCATTTATCCCTAATTTTAAATGCAGACTAAGTGCATGAATAAGAAAATTGCTAGTGGTAATAAATGATATGGCGTCAGTAATCTCTTTTCAATGTCATTATGTACCAGGTGATGAACAGACACAGTGGAGGGTCCTTCCCGAGGTGGACTCTGGTTCTTCAGCTGCTCCTGTGTGGGAGTGGAGTTTACACCACCAACAGCACCAAGAAATGTAAACTGTACTCTGACTCTGAATCAGAGCGGGAAGTCCTCAATCGGCTAGAGCCACTCGCACACATGAAGTAAGAAGTGACTCAGCCATATGACATTAATATGTTTTTGGGGTGTCCTGTCATCCAGCAGGAGTCAGCTCTACTTCTTTATGTCAACTAACCATGGCAGAAGCATTTAGCCTTTTTCGTATTTTACCGTTCATTTTTGTTTGTTTTTTTTCCTTCCAACATCTGTCTCTCACTGTGACGTGTTGTCATGTTGACAGCTTTACATTGGAGGTCACCAAGGAAGCTGAGAGTTACACATACGTGTTCCAGTTGTGTGGGGACGCATGGGGCGTTCCAGGAGCCGGGGTAGTTCAGTTGGACAACAAAAATAAGGAAGGGAAACCAACAGTGATCGGCTCATACAACGGAACACAAGCGTATGGAGGAAGTACGTCCCTGAAATGATGTTTGCATTAAGAACTCGTCTTCTTTTGTTTGTAGTACTTTGAACTTCGGTGTTATTGCATAGGGTAGTTAAGAACAATATTCTGTTTAAATGTCTGATTTTACTCTTTACTGCTTTTGTAGGTGACTGGGTGATGTTAATCTACAGAGATGGTGAAACATACGATACCCACTGCTCGAAGGAAAAGAGGAGAGCCATGTTCATGATCTCTTGCAACAGAAACATGGACGTGGTAAAAGAAATACACCACATTCAACATCTGAACAAAAGGGGGCATAACGTCACCCATTACTTCCAAATTTTGCTCAGTTCATTAAGCCTGGGTAACCTAGCGGCACCCGCTTGTATACTGAAGTACCATGCTGTACATTTTGCAGAATGTGAAGCCTTTAGGAGCCCCAGAGTTTACTGTGATGTCTTACTAATGTTTCTTGTTTGACATGTGTTTATTTTATGTTTATTTGTATAGGGACAATAATGAATAAACTACTGCCAGCCACCACAGCAATTATAAACTAAGTTTATTTGCAATGCTCGTTCTTAGGTGGGCCTTTAAAATATTTCAAACTCAACAACAGATACACAAAAAACAGTATCAGACAAGCAAGACAATAAAAGGCAGAACAATACAGGATAATAGCTATCTTACAAACATGCAGTTTAGTTAAGTGTAGAGGTTTATATTTATCCTTTTCTGCTCCATCTCACTCTCAGGGCCGAATCGTGACGGTGCTGGAAGACAGGGAGAGGGACCAAGACTGTTTCTACCTTTTTGAGCTGGACTCCAGTGCAGTCTGTCCACCTCTGGAGTCCAAGCTCAGTCCTGGATCCATCATACTCATCATGTGCGTAAAGACTGTCTTATACAGCTTAAAAACCTTCCTGATCTTAAAGTAATATGCTATTCTAAATGATCTGTGCTCATCAGCCCTCTCCTCTTTCAGTGGCCTCTGCATTATGGCTGTCTACCTCATTGGAGGTTTCCTCTACCAGAGACTGATTGTTGGCGCTAAAGGGATGGAGCAATTCCCCAATTATGCTTTTTGGGTGGAGCTTGGCAATCTGACAGCGGTGAGTCTCCAGTATTTGATTAATAATGTCATTACAAGATTAGACTGAAGTTGCTTTTTTAGTATAAATATCTAACTCTCCTCTCCTACAGGATGGCTGTGACTTTGTGTGCCGGTCAAAGAATCGAGAGGAAGCGCCCGCATACAGGGGCGCCGCCACAGAACCGTTAGAAGAAGAGCCAGAGGAGCGAGATGACCACTTACTACCAATGTGACCTAAATAAGTCAGAAACGGGACCGAAATGTACTCTGTGTGACGCATCTTATTCTTTCACAGGTTAGCTGAACTTAGACACAAGTCTTGTTTTTCTTGTGCTGGTTTAAGATTAGGACCTGTTGATACTATGTGTGTGTTTTTCAGACTTGTGCCTAGAACTACTACTGTGTGATCTGCTCGTCACTTCTTAGGGAATGTTATTGCGAGGCTGGAACGCTTGTCTCCTCCTCTTACCCCCATGCATCAAATTCATTTGTTTGGTGTCAAACACATGAGCGATTAATACAAGACTCCAAAGTGACAGTTCAGAGTGACTTTTGTTCCATGAATATCTAGCAGAAAATGGAGGATTTAAGAGTTAGTCTTTTTCATGATTTCAACTTCATAAAATATTGGTAATGATTGTTTTTGAAGCAGGATTCAGCAATGTGTTAATCCTGGAGTACTGATTGTGTGCACTGATAGACGCAGCTTACAGATCACGGCTTTTCTTTTTTTCATTTTGCTTTAATGATTTCTTCTTGTTTTTTATTTTTGAAAGTGAGAGATTTTGGCACAGCGTAGTAATTTCAAGTGCTTACAGACATGCAAAATAAGTTAAAAAAAAAAAAAAAAAGACTGCAAAAACCAGAGGTTAATTGAAGTAAAACTTTAGTTGGGTGTTTGTGTTTCTCCTACATTATAGGAAAAGGCTTCTCCTAATAACTGCTTGTGAAGGTTTGATGATAACAGCTTCCTGACTGTAAACCAAGCTTGAGAGTTGTAGCTTAACATCCTGCTTTTTATTGGAAAGGTCAAACATGCTTTCACTTTTATGTGGGACACGATGAATTCAGTGTCTGAGGCAAAGCATCCAGCTAAAATCTAAAACTAATTTCCTATAAATCCCTCATATCTGCCTTTAAAAACTTCTTTATAGAGGCAATCTGAGGGGGATTTTTATGTAAATTCCTGCTTTTCTTATTTATGATATGAAAAAGGTTTGGTATGTATTTAGTAACAGTACTTGTGTTTTCATGGAAAATATGTTTAAAATTCCAACCAATCTAAACTATATTCACTTCTATGAACTACCAACATCAAACTGAAGAGTAGATCTACATTCATTTAACCAAATCTTTAAATTGACCAAATATTCAGGCCGCTTCATGTCTGATAATCTACTTCTTTTTCAAGATAGAGCAGCGATGAAAGCACTTGTTTTTCTATACACCTGCTGTATATTACGGTTGTAAATGTTACATCATGAACTACCTTTATAATATTTTAAGACATTTCAAACTTTAAACGCTAAGAATTAAAGCTGTTTTTGTGATTTCTAATGGCAACATGATGTTACAAGTTTGTTTTGAATCAAGTTCCAACATTACAGTCAACATGATCACTTCAGTTTGTTTTGCTTTAAATGTTTCTACATCTGTTGTTATTGTGAGTTAATTACAGCGGATATTACTTTTCTTTTTTTTTTGCTCACAATCTATGAAAAGCTGATTTGGAGGTTGTAGTAATTTACATTACCTCTACATTGTTAAAAAAAAAAACTGTTTAGTTCAAGGACAATAAACAGCAACAAAACAAAGTGTTTGTTTTATGACTCTATCAAATGTAGGAGATGTTTATGTTTGTGTTGAACTCAGTACACACCAGCAGGGACTGATGGCTCTGAGATTTCTAGGTCTATGGAGTTCAGCAGAAATTCATGTTCACTAATGTTTTAGAAAGCATTGTCAGATACGGGATAACAGCTTGGTATGGTCTCTTGATTGTTTATTTCAAATCACAGATTACTCATCTTGTGCACACTGCTATGAAAACCATGGGTGTTAAAAAATCTTTATCAAATTAATGCAGCGACTCTGGGAGGAATTAAAACAATCGGGGGGGGGAGACAGGAGGATTGAATAAAAAATGCATTTAACAGGAAAACATCCATCAGGTTTGTGTCAATGTGGACGAGAACAGAACTCTTGATGAACATGTAGTCTGTTATTACATACATATAAAACATAGAGAGAAAATCTAAAGAGTGAGCAGAGCAAATGTGAGGTTGGAGTAGTAGAAATACAAAGCCTTACGTTTTACAAGATAATGTAACAATCGGTGCACTGGCAGTAGGTGGCGGTATTGCACATTAAACGCAAGCTGCCATTAACTAAAAAAGAAGGAAGAAGAAGAAGAAAAAGGGGACTGCTGAAGGGGCGGGGCTTTGTTGGAGGCAAAACCATGAAAGGGGGTTCACCGTGGCTTGCATGAAAAAAAAATAACAAGATCGCAATATTGACTTGATTGCATTTAACTGCGAAAAGGACAAAAGCCTCAAAGAAAGGTAAACACATAAGCACGTCGAAAAACACTGACTGTTACCATGTGTGAAGGGTGATAGCCAGCTTTTTGTTGCTAGCTGTCTGCCAAAAATGCTATTCAGTTAGCTTTTTCTACTTGTTACGTTTAACGTGAGTGTTTGCACAATAAATCCGCTTTACCCTCTCTTATTTAATATTATGCATTTTGTGCGAGTGGCGTTACACATTGTAATGAATTCTAACCGCGTTTTGTCCGGCTTTTCTGAGATAAATGTTAGCACCACAGTCTATTGTAGTTAGCTGCAGATGGCTACTCGGTTCTCCTGAGCTTCTTCCTCCATGTTGTTCCTTCTCTCGCAATCATCTATCATGTTGACAACTGGGCTGCTCATGAAAACAAAAAGTTGTGAGTGGTTTAGTGGTGAACTCAGCCAATGCTCATGTGTTGCTAAAGTTAAAGTTAGATGGTGTGAATGCTGGGTGTGGGAAGCTGTGATTTGTTTTGTCTCCTCTAGTGAAACTTTTTAAGTGTTTTTTAAAGATGTAACTCCACCAGTGTTTGTCTCGACTTTGTCTTGCTATTAATGCCAGCAGTGACCTTTTTGAAACATACTGACTCTGAGAAGTTAATGTGCTTTATTACATACTGATTATCTTACTTTTGACATTTTTTTAAACTTTTATAAAAAGTGAGTTTTACTGTGTTGCTCAAGTGATGTGTGCTTAATTGCATTTTCAGTTTGATCTTCATGCCGAGGTATTACTTTTACGATTTTTGCTATTGATAAAATATATTTAGTATATATGTTTTTTTTTTGTTGCATGAATAACAAGATTTGGCTTCTGTGTTTTTTAAAAGGTACCATGGATACAGGGGAAGACCAAAACACAGGCACCAACAATGCAACTCCTCAAACAAGTGGGAACTCTCGTGCGCCCCAAATAGCCCACATGTCTCTGTATGAAAGACAGGCTGTGCAGGTATGCATAAATAACAACAGAAATGTAATCCAAAAAAAAAAAAAGTTTGACTTGAAATGTGTAAAAGTATCATAGTAAAGATTCTTGGATTAGTCTTCAGACATCATGTGTTGTGTGTTTGTGTGTTTGTGTGTCTGTGTGTCTAGGCGCTCCAAGCACTGCAAAGACAGCCGAATGCAGCTCAGTACTTCCAGCAGCTCATGCTGCAGCAGCAGATCAGTAGTGCCCAACTCCACAATCTGGCTGCCGTGCAACAGGTAACAAGACTGAAGACTAGTAAATACATTCAGTTGAAAAGTAATGTAAGCTGACATTGTACACAACCTCACTTTATTTTATTTCTTGAAACCAGGCAACCCTTGCAGCTAGTCGACAATCCAATACCCCTAGTAACAGCATATCCCAAGCGACCACCACTGTAAGTATCGTGTTAAAAAAAATGAAATATGTGTTGCACATGTAGTTATTGAAAAAGTATGTGAAAGATTTGAATTATCTGTCCCTCCCAGGTCAACCTAAGCACAACATCTGCGGGAGGAACTATGACCAACCCCCGTCCTCACGGCCCGGCCACCTCTGCAGCTACAACAGCAGCTCTTAACCAGTCGGTGCTGCTGGGTGGAAACTCTGCAGGACAAGGACAGATGTATCTAAGGGTAAGTTTAAAAAAATAAAATAAAAAAATACATATAAGGTTTGCACTTAGTCAATTTTTAGTTATAATCAGTTAACTTAAAGCATATTGCTCCTGTCTCTGTCATAAATCTATATAAAGATATTTATTCAACCTTAACTCTGCTTTTTCAAAAAAAATCAAAAAGCTTCACAATGATTAGCAAATAAATAATTTTCAAATGATAGCGTATTTACTATAAACATTGATTTAAGTGTATGACTGATTACCTGTCTCCCACGTCTCACAGGTAAACCGCTCTCTCAGGGCTCCTCTTGCCTCTCAGCTCATCTTTATGCCGGGTGGCACAACAACAGCAACTGTAACAACAGTTGCCCAGGCACAGCCGCAGCAGCAGCAACAGCAACAACAACAACAACAACAACATGAAGCTTCTGCCAGTAACCAGTCTGACAATGATCAGGTTTGAGCACCTTAACCTAACTGTAACATCAAGTTTGAGCTTCTTAGAATAAACAGTAATAAATGTTTAATAGTTTTCATTGGCAAAAATGTAATAGGAGGACTTTTTGACTCTGCCTACTACAACTTCTCCTTTTAGCTCGTACATTTCATAACAATCTTTTCCCTTCTAAAGGTGCAGAATCTGGCCTTACACTGCACCTCCACTCCCAGGGCTGTTGCTGTCAAGTCTGAGCATCCAGAGAGGAAAGATTTTCCTCTTGGTCAACAGCAACAGACTTTTACTCAGACAGGTCAGCAGCAGCAAATGCAACAACAAATGTCCAAAGGCAACTTTACTCAGCAATCCAACACTATGACTGTAAAGACTGGAAACCAGGTTGCCATGACTGTCACTCCTGCTGCATCTGTAGCTCCATCCTCAAGTCATGTCAACTCCTCTCAAGCACTCCCTCTATCCCAACTCCTCCTCTCCACCTCTGCTGCCCCAGTGATCCTTGTGCCCACCTCAAACGTCACTACCTCCACCCAGGGCTACCCCATCGGCTCTTTGACTTCTAAGGCAAACGTAAACACACAGACTTTGGTGGTACAGCCGCTACAGCAAGCCAGCACTACCGCAGACAAAGGCCCTGTGCCAATCCAGCCCAAGACAGCCCAGGGACACCGCTTACCTGTGCAGCTGCCCCCTCGACACCCACCTCCCATTCTCCCTGCACCACCAAGCAACAGCCAGGCTACGGCTGGGGGACACAACACTCCCCACATCCCAGTGCAGCTTGTGGGAGCGAGGCAGGGCTTGGCAGGAAACGCACAGGTTGTGGCTCTGGCACAAGCACGATGCAGCATAGCTCAGGAGGGTGTAGCTGGTGGGAACGTAAACATGGTTTCCAACAACAGTGCAATGGTAAGATTACTGAAACTATCTTTGTTAAACTGTTAGGAAAACAATCTGTGTTTTAGGAATGGTAACACTTTTGTAACACATTGTTCTCCTTCACACAATAAGATAAAGCCTGTCATCGGCTCTCTGAAAAGAAAATCTGACTGTGATGCTTCAAATGAGATGGCAACAGATTCCTCTGCACCAATGAAAGACTCAGCTCCTCCCTTATCCCCCGCGCCGACAAAGGACTCGGGTATGTCAGATTGCCCTATCCAAACCAAGCATGAATTACTAGTACAAGTAGTAGAAAATTGTAGCTATATGTTCAATTCTCATTATTTTCCTTGTGTCTTTTCCCACCTCATTAGCTCCTCCTGTGACAGCTGCCTTCACATCTCCTCCCACCCTGTCCCTGCCTCTGCCCTTGTTAAGAGGTGTCCATGGGGACAAAGACAGAGCACCAGTGCCCCAGGCAGTGGTCAAACCCCAAGTCCTCACCCACCTCATAGAGGGCTTCGTCATCCAGGAGGGAGCTGAGCCCTTCCCTGTAAGTATGCCATTCTATAATAACAGAGATTTCACATTAACTCAGAGATTAATTGAATTACACTTTGCATGTTTGTGTGTATCAAGTTCCTTACTGTCAGGCTTGTGTTTGATATGACAGGTTGCTGGGCTCCTCAAAGACAGAGACTATGCCCTGGTTGGCCGATCAGAGAACGGTACTCCTTGTAAGTGATGGAATAACTTTTATTTTTTAATTAAAAATGTTCAAAGTTTTACTAAATTTACTACATTTGTGACATGGTTGTATACTTGCCTTCTCTTTTCAGTGTTGAAGTGTGAATACTGTGCAAGCCTCGCCCCTGCCAGCCAGTTCAGAGGATCAAAGAGGTTCTGTTCAAACACATGTGCTAAGAGGTATGATTCACTTTAGCCTCACATATCTGCATTGATTTACAATCTGGACTCTCAAGAAACTGCTGCTGTGAATACATAAAGGTCTGGTTACCATGCATAACAAGGGAGCTAGCGAAAGACCATACAAGAGTATGCCTCTTATTAGAGCTGAAAGGCTTACTGTGCACATTGGGCTTGAGATTTTGAAAAAACAATCTTGCACACGGGGGTTTAAAAAAAACCTGAAAATGTCTCCCTGTGTACTCACTGTGCTCTTGGATTCACAGGTATAATGTCAGCTGCAGCCAACACTTCAAAACGAGCAGAGGGAGAAGTGGTGCAGGCGTGGCACCTCCTCCGGCCCCCACTGAGATCGCTGCCAGGCGAAGGGGTCCCTCCCGCAGGAGCAGCTCTAATATCCCCTGTAATAAGTTATCGAGCAGGCATCTACCTGTCAAGGTAAGACATGTGGTGTAAAAGGTCAAGCTGGTCATATTCTCTGTTTTGGCAACAAAAAGGTTACCCTGCATTCAGTTGGTGTAGACCACAAAGTTACACTACAGGACATGTTCTTTTCTTTCTTGTGTATTATTGCACAACTGAAGATAGTCCCTCTAACAAATGCATTTCTTCTGTTTTGTTAAGAGCTTTTTGTTTTACGAAGTTATGAGTGGCTCTTTAAAAAGAACTTCACACTTCATCTTTTTATAAGTTCATGTTCTGTCGCTTTAACGATTTGACAAGAATTGAAATGTGCTGGAGACAGTTGAAAAGTCATTTAAAAAAAAAGAGTTTGGCTTACATATTGATTGGTTTTGTGTTTTTACTTGGATTTTTTTTTTGATCACAAGAAAATATGGAAAATGGCTTCCTTATGCTTAACATCAATTTGGTGGCATTTATCAACAAATGCACTACACTTTCTAAAGTCTTTGTTTAGCCGTTCTTTTAAGTATGTTCCTCTTTCGTCGTAGTGTCACTCTGAGTCCAGCCGCTCGGATGATGTATCCAGCGACGGAGAAGAAGAAGAAGAGGACGAGTCTCCTTCTCTGTCCCCGAGCTCTTCTCACTCCTGCTCGAGAGCCGGGCACAGCGCTCCTCCCTCTGACAGCTCTGCTCCACTAGAGGGCGCTAACTTTCTCTCGGCAACTCCTGCTCAGTGGAGCGTGGAAGAAGTGTGCAGGTTTATCTCCTCACTTCAAGGTCAGTTTTCAGTCAGTAGAAAACAGTTTTATTTGAAAGAGCTCGGCCTCCTGTTTTCATTTGTTTTTAACTGTCCCATTCTGTTGGGATTCCTTCAGGCTGTGAAGAATTGGCTGCTCAGTTCCTGTCGCAGGAAATAGACGGGCAAGCTCTTATGCTCCTGCGAGAGGATCATCTCATATCTACCATGAATATCAAGCTGGGTCCCGCGCTTAAGATCTGTGCCTCCATCAACACGCTGCGTGAGTGATGCAGTCCGGCCGAGGAGCAGAATAAAAAAAAATACTACAATCTTTGATGACATGAGTTTTAACAGTTCACTTTTATAGACATTGAATGTGCAAAAACTTGTATGTATACTTTTACGTTTGTATTCATGTCAGTAGTGTTTCTTAGTTTATTCTGTTACTGTGAGTAGAGAGCGACGTCTTTATGTATACTCCTGTGAAACTGTGCAAACCTGCCGGTGTGCAGGACTAGGTGCTAGGTCTCCTGTCTAGGACAGTTCACCTCTTGGGGGAGGGGAGAAAGAAACGTTGCCTTCTTGCTGGATTTCAAACCGGTGCTTTAACTTTGGTAATATGTTTCAGTCTTTTAGTAGTTACCTGTTATTTTAAGATAGATGTTCAACCCAGGCTCCAACCACATCAAGTAAAGGACACTCGTAGAGCCTGAGGTTCATTTTACCTGCCTTTAAAAGTTTAGTTTTGTATCTTTTCCATTTTGTACTACAATCAAAGCTATTTTTTCATGGATAAAAATATAGTTTTAGTAGCTTTAACCAACTTAACTACCTGAAAATAGGTATTTCTAATGGTTTGCTCTCTTCAGGGCTGAGTGGAAGTACTCTGTGTACACAATTACACATGTTCTACCCATAAAAAATACCTGTTAAAGGATCTTTGAATCTGTGTGTGTGTGTGTGTGCGTGTGTCTGAAAAAACGAAAGATCATTGTTTGATTTAAGGTATTTTTATTAACATAAAAATGTTTGAGATGATAGCATAAATACAAACATGTTCCCTTCATTCATTTCCATAACTCAGCCTAATAAACAATCATACAAAAGGTGGTAAAAATATAAATGACATCTTCATTCATGTTGGCTTGAGATTTTTAAACATGATTTTTAAACCATCATATATTGACAGTATCAGCTACAACTGAGGGATGCAGCACCTGTACTTGGTCAAGTTTACATATCTTACAAGTTCCTGTTACAAATCACTGGTTACATTTCCCTAAATGAACTTTAAATATTTCACTATGGCAGAAGGAGTGAGAAGAAGGCACTGTATCAGGTAGATAAAAGAACATTTTTCAGAGCCTGAAACACTTATTGCACTTGAAAGATACTGTTTTGTAAAGTGCACCACTGGGTTGGTTGAGAATAGTGCAATTTATGTTTTATTTTGTACGGGTCCGAGCAGGGATCAGAAAACAGTGTAGCTGTTAGACTCGCCATATCCTGCTTCCCGCAGGTACTGCTCGATGTTCACCGCTCCCGACACCTTGAGGACTTTGTCTGATGCACCTTTCTCTCCTGAGAGCAGCTTGCGACTCACCTCGGCCAGAGATGGTCGATCCTGATCCTTCCACTGGCAGCAGCCCTTGATGATGGAGTGTCTGAAGGACAGAGGAAAACAGTCTGAGCCTTAAAACATTATATGAGATTATTAAGCAACATCCTCTGGTTTGGTTGTGCGTCTTATAAGAGGCATGTAGTAGGTTCTTACAGCATGTTGGAGCAGTTTGAAGGTTTTTTCAGACTTTTGCCTCGTTGATGGAACTGCAGAAGTTCATTCACTGAGATTTCTGCAAAAGGAGCTTCACCTGGAGGGAAAATAGAAAATCTATGTATGGATACAGAGCTCTGTCAAGGCAATGCATGTGCAATTTTCAACTGCAATATCAGTAGTTTAATAGTAAATGTTCTGTTAAACAAAACAAAGAGGTTGTATATGGGAAGAATAATCAGATGAACATGTGGTTTCTGGGTGCTCCAGGAAATCAAATGGTCGTACATGTAGCTGCAGGAGCTGGGGATTGAACCCCCTCCTACCTTTCTGTTGAGAAACTCTACCAACTGAGCCACAGCTGCACTAAACTTGTTGATAGTATGATCAATTATATGTCAAATTTCTGACAGTTTGGAAAGTTGTATTCTCAGTCTCAAGCTACAAATAGTTACTTTATAAAGTACTTTGTTTTTTTTTTAGGTTTTTTGGATCATCTATCACTAATTTCCCCAAAAGTCAAACATTTACTTACCTAATGTTGCCATTTCATACAGTAAGATGCCAAACGACCAACTAGGGAGGGACACACAGATGGAAGTTATGGTCAGCTAATAACTAACTCAGTAAATTCCAAAAATGAATTGCATCATCCTTGTATTGAAAAAAACCTACATATCGCTGCTCTGACTGGCAGGTCTCCGGGCTAACAGCTCTGGTGCTTGCCATTTCTTCATGCTGGCATCATCTTTCTGAGTGGTCCCCTGGCTCTTCCTGGTGTAGACCCCATGCAGGCCCCAAAGCTTGGCCGTGTGCTCTTTACTGACCAACACGCTGCGGGCACGGACGTTTCCATGGAGAAGGTCTTTGTTGTGAAGGAACTCCTGATGGAGCAAAAAGATGAAACCCATGATGAAACATCTAAACCTCTATTTTTTTTTGTTTTAGCTGTAATATCCGTTTAGCTTAGCTAGATCCAGTGATTGAATGCATGTAGAGAGTTTTTGAAGGTAAATGTATTCACGCTGTTTCATCTATGGTGGCCAGAATACAAAAATATATGAAGAGTAAATGATGGTAATAATTTACAGTTTTTTGGATCCACTGCTTTGAGCCAAAAAGAGAATTCAAGTTAGCTTTTTGATGGATTCATGCTCCCCTGAAGATAAATCCTAATGAATTTGGTGAGACTCAGACTTTTTGACTTTTCCTTTTTGTTCCTGATGAACCTCCAAATGGTGCTAAATCAGTTGAAATCTTTCCACCATGTAACTTTGGATTCTTTCATCACCCAAACCCAACACAATTCTGACATTCCTCGTGAAAATTAATGTCATTAAAATCTGTCACATTTAGGGTCTGGTGGAGGAAAACCCTGTTGACAGGAGATGGTGTCAGGACAGGGGGTATGTTTCTCTGTGATTTGAAAGTCAAACATTTTTTGAAAAGGTGAGGGCATATTCATTAGCATACTAACCAGAGCTGAGGCCACCTGTTTGGCCATGGTAAATATTCTTCTCTCTGTCATTTCACACGGTGGATTCACATTTTCCTGAAAGAAAAAGGACATACACAAATGACTTTGCCATCTTGAAGATAATATAATCATTGTTTTGCTCCATGTATTTTCTGCTTTAAATGTATGGCTTGATGCCTAAAGTGAGCTAATGCACGTAGTAGAAGGATTTCCTATTTAAAGATTCACCGTACCTGTCTGCATCGCCACAGGTAGCTGAGCAAGTCTCTGTTCTCCAGCTCTTCTACAACAGTTACCAGAGGAGCTCGAAGTGAAACCACTCCAAGAAGCTCTGGAAGGAAAGGGTGAGGTCCCAGCTGGGCCAGGAAGGATGCAAAGCCTAAGAAGTTGTGTCTTTCATTGGCATCAGCAGAATCTGAACATAGAGAGAGCAAGAGAAAGATGAGAGAGAAGAAGTTACATCAGATGTCAGAGTCCAGAAAAAGACTGCACCAACCATCTTCTATTAACTTCAAGTTTAACATTCTCACCATTCAGGACTCGCAGCACCACGTTCCTGTTCTCCATGCGGGCCCTGTAGAGGGACACAGAGGAGTCGGAGCGCAGGGAGAAGGCAACCGGCAGAGGGGTGACCAGATTGAAGGACTCGGGCAGCCTCTGACGGGGCAGCTCCCTGGGCTTGACCACAGGAGTAAAAGTGGGCTGGAAGGTCTGCTGAGGGGGTTGGGCGGGATCGAGGGTTCAACCACAGGCGTGGTGAGGCTTTTGGAGGGGTAAGTCGTTGCGGTGTTGAAGGTGGAGTAGGAACTGGGTACGTCCAGAGCGATGCTTTCATGTTCCAGGACATTGATACCAGGTGGAGCTATGGACAGAGAGAGAAAAAAGGGACAGAGAGGGAGAGAGGGAATAAGAAAAGTCCAAAAGTGCTAACATTTACATGATAGTAGATAAACTAAGTCGTATGAGTCCAAAAATGTATCTGTAAAACACAGAGAAGAAACTATTTTTTACACATACAGATCAGCTTACTGAACATGAGCTTCAATTAGCTACACTTTGAAAAATACAAGAACAATAGAAATTCAATGGCCTTCCTTTATCTTTACTGACAATGTAGAGCCACTTTGAGTCCCCTGATATGATTAAGCATATTTGAATCACAATTATTCTGCCTATTCCAGTGTCTTACCATCAATGCCATGCAGCACCCTCCTGGTCGGCTTTGAGGCCTGCGGACGGATCCGATCGACTTTTTCTGGACAGAAGCGCAGCAGTAAAATGAAGATCAGGGTGACCAGGAAGCTGGACAGCAGCAGGATCGGCACAATGATCACCTCCTGCTCATAAGTACGGATCTCTGCACACATGAAACAAACACACTCTTAACATCACTCAATAAGTCTGAGAAACACTGACCTCAAAGGTTGCCTGCTTGTCTTGTCTGAAGTTGACAATAACAAATCCTTTTAAAGGCCGGAGCAGGTAATCGACCACAATGCTCCACCGTTAAAACTTACCACAGATTGTATCTCCATTGTTACAACTGAAGTCTGCGTTTGATGTTGAAGACATCCTGTTTGATTAAAAAAGAAGTGAGATTAAAATGTTGTCCAATCTTTGACCACCATTCACATGTCAACAACTGGTTTCCATTATTTTTGTTGTGCGTCAACAGATAGATGTAGATGATTTAAAACAACAGTTTACTTGACAGCAGTAGCCTGACACCCATTAAGTCTCTTTGGCTGGATCTGCAAATAGTAACATGACTCTTTTAACAAGATATCCAGTTTGTGGAGGTGTCTGAGCGACTGGTAACTGAGAACAGAGCAGTGCTTCCCTCTTAAAGGTGCCAAACTGTTTCTTACTTCCACATACGACTTGCACTTAGAATAAAAACACTCTAAAACCTTTAGGAATACATTTCCTGAAACAACAAATCTTAATCCTCGAGGACATACAGCACAAAACATCAATGGTAAACAGTCAACTTTACGAAGAATTAACACTGTGAAAGCCTTCACCTAAAGGTAAACACAGCCTTCACCCAAAGGTAAACACACAAAAAGGTATCTTTAATTTGGGAATGTTTACGTTATCTAAATAAAGAGCTTCTCTGAATGCAGTGTTAAGGAACAGAAATGACACTACAGCCACACTGAGGAACTCTCCCACCACCTGATCATCCTGATAGGTCAGATCCAAGATCTCTAAACCTGTTCATCTGCATTTTTTCCACTCATAAATGCTGGTGTTGTACTGCACATATATATGTGACGAAACAGCTCCAGCTTGTGTACTCAAACTCATAAATGACATGTCATAATGTCACATGACAGAAACCTTGTTCCCGGAGTGATTTACACCGTTAAAATAAATATTAATATACATGAGCTCGTTCTACCTCAGGGCTGCCACCATAGCAACATTTTACCTGACTTTAAAATGTCAAAGAAAAGACATGAAGCATTTTAAATTCTTACCTCAGCTCCTTCAGTATTGTCTTGTATATTAAAGAAAATCCAGTTATTAGAGGCTCATGTTTCCCTTCTTCACATCAGTCACACACATATTTTATACATCCTCCCAGCTGAATGTGGAGTCCGGGTTCATCTGAGCTCTTCAGATCTTGATTGTCTTGTTTTTCTCAGGCGATTAGTTGGGCTCAGGGGATCGCCGCACCACTCTCTGTTTGTCTAGGTTCCACCTTCTGTTTTTCTTGACTCCACCCTCCTCACCTCCACCTTATCCCTCTTCACCTCTGTTTACCTCTTCCTCCTTCTTACTTGAAGAAGTGGTGCACCATGCTGGCATCAGGTTTGTAACCCACAGTCCTGCCCTGCCTCCTCTCTCTATCTCTCTCTCTGAGTTTGCTCAGCCACATTCTGCAACTCCTTTTTTTTTGTCTCTTAAGTCGAGGTTACCGCTGGCTCTGCCTCTCTCCTCTTTGTTTTGGAAACTGGTCCTGCAGCTCCCTTGTCATTTTTAGTTCACAAGTCTTTTGTTAAGCATGTTTGGCCTTCACCATGCTGGAACTCGTATGACAGGCTCTGCAGTAGGTGGAGCAGGAAATATTCAACTGCTTATTTGTTTAGATACTGACATTAGACACAAGTAAATAATAATTACAAACTCTAAAAAAAGATATAAATTAGTGTCAATTAGGATAGTGCCATGCTGTAAAATCCAACCATTATCCTTATATAAGACAAATACAAAAAAAACAATGCATAATAACTAAATGACATTTAAATTTAGTTATAAAATCCACATAAGAGTATATAAGTGAGTCATGATGCAGTGAAATGGCCTTTTGATAAATCATGTGTGATAATTGTGTAATTACTGATGCAGCAATGTATTCCTAATATTGTCATTTTGTAGATGTTTGGGGTGAATAGTTAAAAAAACATTATAATGGGGTTTTATTGTAGTAAGTGTTAATAGATGGATTGTAAGGCCCTTTTCTAGGATCTTGTCCATTTATTAGCTCAGTATTTTTTAAATATAAGCACATTTTTGTAAGACAAGCTGTTGTAAGACATTTGTTAAAGAAAGCTTAGGCACATTTTTTACAAGTTATAAGTTTGACATTATTTTTGTAATAACCTTTTTTAACTAAGAAAAAATCTTCCTTAATTTAAAGATTCTATAAAAGCCTTGCATCATAATCTTACAGAGCACACAGAAAATTATGTCATCATATGAATCATGTGTCAACTCCTCAGAAAACTTTTCACCTGTCCTTTCATTTTCTTCTGTTTTAAAGTAATTATCAACAATATGTTGTTGATTCTTTAGTTTGTAGATTCGGACTGAAAGAAAAAAAAGTCACAAAATCCACTTAACATGACTCAGCATATTTTTTATTCAACTTAACATTTGAACTCAGATGTTGTCTTATCAAACAGGCCTCTTATCTTTTCCCACATCCTAAAGTGATTCGATGAAGCAAAACATATCCAGGCTCACTTCAGGATAGAGGAGGGTTACACCCTGGAGCGCTTATTCTGCTATCACAAATCAAACAAAAGGTCAACCACATCCAATCTAATATAAATACCCATTAGCAATTTAGTTTCCAATAGACTACACCTAACAGGCTTATAGTAGCAATGTGGGAGAAAACCTGTGCAGAAAAGATAAAACAGGTTCAACTCAGGAGCTTCTTTTGAGGAACACACTGAGCTGAAGTCGGGTTCATGATCACAGCTTTAAAAAGAAATGCCTTATTTAAGAATAGCTATGAAATAATGATGGCTGTTGTTTCATAAACATATTTGTTTTTAAATGTAGCAAATAAAACATGGACTTTCATTCACCACATGACATCTTAGCAGCCAGAGTTGTTGCTGAGGTCAGTTTTAGTTTGAGCTAAATATTCAAAGCTAATGTTAGCATCTCAGCATCTCCACAAAAACAAAGTGAACATGCTGATACATCTGTTAGCATCTGTAATGTTAAACATCTATAATGTAAAGCATCTGTAATGTTAGCATCTGTCCCATCACACACACACATGATGTAGTTTATGTTGTGAGGTAGTGTGGGATCATGGGAGTTGTTATTTTCTGTCAGTAAAATCTGATGTAACAAAAAAAATAGCGTGTTTTAAGATTGGGCATGTCTATTTTTTTCATGTTTGGTTAAGTTATATTTAAGGACACCATGTTTTTTAACTCTGCTGCCTCAGAGACTTCCTTTCTTACGCTGAGAAGTATCATCTGCTGTTTCCCAGGTTTCAATGGAGGACAAGTGACCCATTGAAACCCCCCCCCCCCCCCTCTGGATTTCTCTGAGTTATCTGAACATCGGTGGAAACATTTGGAATAATGTAAGTGCACAGCTCAACAGAAAAAGTAGCAGATTCATTTTTGGCATTACACGTAAATTATACATATTGTACCTTTAACACGGCTCAGCTGAGGAGGACAGGGATTCTATTTGTTAAGCATGCTTCACTTTTGAACAGAAGTAATTTGGAAAAGATTGTATTTTGGACAAATGATGGAGAAAAAGATTTACAATTCATCCTGAGAACACTTGAAAGTTTGTTTCACACGTCTTGGCTATCAGTCTTATAATTATAGAGACATTTCAGTGAAAGCAACAAATGTCAACCTCAAGGTGGCGCTACATGAACAGTCAATTGGAATCTTCCAGTTGGAGCATGAACGTTATTGAAGGATAGTTTTTAGTCCCAACCAAATTAGTTAAACCTCTTCTCCCAATATGAGACACCTAACGAGCATGACTAAGATAACGATGAAACAATGACATCCTTTTCACGTCTTTTTTTTTTATTTCAACAGAAAGATGACGAGCTGATTTTTCTGCAAGTGGTTAAAAACGTTTCTTTTAATAGCCCATAATTTGTATGTTACAATATTTACACTGCAAAATGTTTTAGTTACATTGGATATATTCTGAATAGTTTCACAAGGCACAGCACTGAAAATATGAAACTGAAGAATGAAGGAAAATGATAGACATTGTTAATACATGATGCAAATTAGACAATCTGTGAATCTGTGAGCACACCATCAGTGTGTGAAGGTAGCTCTCTCTCTCTCTCTCTCTCTCTCACAGTTTGGCAGCTGACTTGTCAGGCTGAGGTCCCAGCCACTTTTCGCCTATAACAGAGAACAAATGAGTCCGGGGTGAGAATCACAGTGAGATTAATTAGAAATGTGAATGAGAGGATGAACATTTAACAAACAATAGAAACAAAGGAGAAAAGCTGCAACACAGTTTTCATCATGTAAACGTAAACTGTCTGTCTCCAGCTAACATACAGCTTACAGTATTCACATGTTACGCTCTTATCAAGGGTGGCTTATGCTGTAGCAGTTGATAAAGAATATGTTAAAGTGATATTTTAATCTTTAGGGTTACTTTGACATCATGTGTTTTTGAATAATATATGGTGGTACATTACAATATTTTTCTCACCGATGCAGTTAGCCATGAGCTCAAATCTGTCCGATCCAAAAAACATCTCTGGCTTGCCATTTACATGACACACAATCATGGGGAATCCGAATGCCTGGAAAGGAGCAGGAAGAGTTCAATATATTGTGATTTCTTGGCTGAATCTACAAGGAGAACTGAGGGAAACTGACTCCATAATCAAGTGCATCCTCTGAAGAGCTTTTCAGCTTGTCTTTGATCTCCTGTGAGGTGTATATATTCAGCACTTCTTTAATCTCGCTGTCGGACAATCCTGCTTTCAGCGCTGCCTGCAAAAAAGTAGAAAAGTTCACACTCTGACAAAGCTGAAAAGTGCTTTTTAATATTGTCAGATACGAGCAGCCAGTCAGCATAAGCTTGTACCTCAGATAATGATGCAGGTTCAGTGATGTCTTTGTCCTCACTCCAGATTCTTCTCCACAGCTCCCGGGACACCCGCTCCACCTGCTCGTCTCCTCCCTTCTGCCTCTCCTGTACCGCTGCTACAAATCGCATTGCAGACAAAGAGCCTAGGAACAGAAATCAGGACGACAGCTAAAATTCAACTCTTCATTGGTCCTGCTTGATAAAAGAAACAGCCACCTGTTATCTGGATGATGACTTAAAAGAGGGCTGACTTCGCAACCAACGCTCGTACCTTTTTTGAACATGACCTCAGCCGGGTCGGATGGACTCTGCAAGGGAACATTAAAATACTTTGCCAAGCGGGCCAGATCCTGGGTCATGTAGAGGAATTTGTTTGGAACCAAACCGGGGGGCTTGTTGCCTGTCATGAAAGATTAACATTTTATGATATATAACAGTACCAACATTGACCACACGAGTGCAAACAAGTCACCCATCCTGCAGCTGACTAACAACACCACATTGTATTCTGAATCTGCAAAGTCATTCGTTGAATTGAAAACGTGGTAATAATGGTAATAACAGAATTGTACTCAGTTCTTTGACTTAAGTAATGCACTTGCTGCTGCACTTTGATTACCTGATCCTTGCATGATACCACCAAGAAATGCAGGGCGCAGTTTGAGCTCTATATTCCACACATTTCTATATCTGCACATGACCTGTGAACACAAAAACCATCAGTCAAGTTTCAGTATGAACAGAGTCTGTGACAAGAGCCAATCGAAAAAACAAACTACACTGACCTCAAAGCCCAGCCAGGAGTAGGGAGAAACCACATCGTAGAACAACTCGATCACTTTCTTGGATGTCATCTTCAGATCTTCAGAAGGTCGGTGGCTCTAACTCACAGTGATGAGATGAAATGTTTACTTCCCTGTTCAGAAATGTTTGAATAACCACAAAGCGTCTTCACAGTGTGCCAAAGTTCAACTAACCTGACGCAGGGCTTCTTGATGCAGTGACACGTCAAAGCAGCAACTCCACAAAAACTCAGTATGAAATGAATATAGTTAGTTTAAGTCAGCTGGAATCGTTGTTGCTATGTGTACTATTTGACGTAGCTTTTAGTAATGGATAGGTTCATAAACAATGTCTTTACTGCAACACATCAACACGGTACTGCCCTCTTCTGGACCCACAGCTGCTTGGTGAACCTTTTTCTTCCTTCTTCATTTGGGGTTATTGGTGTTTGGCAACCCGCGCCAAGGTGCGTAAACGCCACCTACTGGACTGGAGGATTGGAGAAGAGAGACACGGGTCTATTATTTGTGTTTCTTTTTAAAACGACATGAACTCATTTTATATTTTACTAGTTTTAATCCCCAGAATATTCTGTACAGTGTAGTTGAGCTTTAATTATTTGATTGTTTTCCCTTAACCTTCTTAT